TACTATCGGCTGAATTCAGTTCAACAATAAATTCTCAGTACTGTCTTTCACAAAAATTCGTGGGACATGCATGCTTCAATTCCCAAGAAAACGATCTTCGGTCAGTTTAAAGAAGTAACAAAACGCCTTTCAATTTTACTGCACTGGCAGTTGTAACAGAGAAACAGTTGATATTAAATACAACTGTTTGCGAATCTAGTCGTTTTCTACATCATTCACGACTTGAAACAGTAAAATAATTTGTTAAGGAACAAGTAAGTTAGCCATTATCATATACTTGTGCCAGCTAGGAGTGCACACATAAAGTTAGATGGATCTTTCCTTTCCAACATAAACAAAATCCCAATATTTGAACCTTATTGGACGCATGATCACACCCTTTAATTCGTCAATAAAATGAAGGCTTCTACGAATTTTGAAATTAGCCTAGTGTCTTCGAAGTGGTTATTTGCCCACCTAGTTTGTTCTCCATGATTATTGGGATCCAGTTAGTACTTTGACATTCACAGTGTACATAAGTTTATTCTCGCTCAGAATTTTGTTTACATAAATTACTAAAACATCTTCAAGATTTCTGAGATCGAAATATTATTCATTAAACCTAACTTTTTAAAATCATTGAGCTAAATTTTGGCTTTTATGTTATAACCATTTTACGGCGTCAGTGATTTCCATCTATTTCCAAGACAGGGTTTACTTTAATACGAAGTTGCTGATCACCTGTGCAAAATTTGTGGACGCAAAGACACGAGCAGTGTTTAAGTAATATGCATAATAGAGAAATTTTAGATGCGGCAATCCAATAGGCCCAATGCATTAATTCCCACAACTAACTACTAAGTAATGAACGGAGTTTAACGTTTCGTTTATGTGGTCAGGACCGTCTCTCATTACTATGTGTAGTTGCACAATTAAAGCATGTGGCCTTTTTATGCTAAATGTCTGCATCCACTCATAAATCAGTTATCTATTAACTGATTTTAGGCATGTTGCACCGATAAAGCTGTACAAAGCAACAGCGATAGAAGTGTGCATTTTGATGGCCAGCATATCCAAAAGTTGGTCCAGCAGGAAACATGCTATAGAGATATTAAATAGTGGTAACCCGAATCCTTGCTTCCACCTATAATAAGCTATTGCGTAATCAGTCCCAATTTTATCCCAATTGACAGTTTTTTGAAGATGTGGACGTATTGCTAGCAGTGGCTGAGCTCAATGCAGAACGTGGTTCTTGAATAAACTTTGAGAGCTGCACCCACATCGCCTCATTATGGACTGTAATGGTTTGGGCTTTTTGCCAATTCCTTGACTGGATTGCATCAAATTGGCAAAAATTTAAAACATTATAGGAATTGTTTTTAAATTTTGTACGTCATTATACCCACAGAGTCGCTTAAATTAATGGCATTTTTTCCACAGTTGGTATCTTTGCCTTGTCTATACTTGCAAAGCATCAATTTTCAATAAACTGGTCCTTCACTTTATCGCGATACATTCCAATGTCTGCGTAATTAACGTCCTCATGTGGAGTGACTTTAGTCGAAATGGAAATGAAATAAAAGTGAATGGGAGAATCATTAATTTCAATTTAAATTCAAGACAGGTGACGAAGTTAGTCTTTAAACGCACTTTATTAACAAAACAATTAATAAAAATCTTAGAAAAGAACTCTGGTCTATTCAGAATATTTTGTTCATAGCAGTTTTGTGAAAACTGTTTCGTTTTGACTGACGACCATTTTCGAGTATATATCTCCGCAGCTTCAACTTTGGTTCGTTAGAGTTAATATCCTGCTACTAATGTACACCAGTAACTCGAATGATCTCACACGGGTTACATTCCACTTATAACACTTCTCTTTTTAAATGTTGTAAATTTCCTGGTAGTGATCAGCCTCTGGCTATATGCTCTTTGTTTTTTCCCAATTACTGCAACAAGATTCGTTGATAAAAAGAATTGTTCACAAAGGCTTTGCCCAGTCATTTTTCTGGCAATTTCAGGCTGTCTTCCTAGATTTAATGGCAAACATATTGATGATGACGAAAACGTTTTCAATTTGCAACGGAGACCGACACACCTGCCAGATGTCGGCTCTATCAACTGTCGATGGAACCCCTCAAGTAGAGATGGTCATAGAGGCTAAATGAGCATAATGTGATTGTCAGTATGCGTTTTTTTAATGATTTAACGGAATTCCGTTTTAAACTGCTGTAAAGTGTTTAAATGCCTAGTTGTGGTCAATTCTGTTTGGCTCTTCACAGGATGCTGCACAGTTTCGAATTTCAAGCACCAAAAAATTTTAGGCTTTATCTTAAGAACCTGAACAGCGTGAAAAAAAGGATTAAGGTAATCATTAGAAAGGACTTTCCAAACTTGGACACCTTAGTCGAGACAACTTTTCACAATCCTTCCAATGAGCTTGTGAAAGTGTGTCGTGCGTTTTATTGTCAATTCAGCATATGCGACAGAATGGAGATCCGGACAACGAGACTTTGATCTGAAATCAAATCATCGAGCTTAGGACCAATTAACTCGTCGATAGTAAATATTGTCACTGATCCAATTAAGCCCAATTCGTGTATGGAAAGCTGATTGCTGGAAGTACACCCTCTTAAAACTGCTAGGTGTTGAAAGGTGACTTTCGTAAATCGACTTGACTTTTTACCAGTTTACGAGTACTTCATTCTTCTAATGATTTGTGTTTTGCTAAACGTGACAACCTGTACGGCCGTTAAATAAACCCGTTATTAAAACGTTTTTCGATGATAGAGAAGTAGAGCCTTCTAATTACCATCATCAAAAAAGAGACAAACATCACACTTTACAAGGAAAACATTCTGTTGCCCTTTTTTCAACTCATGCTGTCTTGAAGGCATCTGCCGAATCGCATACTTTTGAGCGAAATTACATATTATTACCAAAAGTTCATAAATTTTCAGGCTATTTCTCTTACTTTTTGGTGTTGCGATCTTCATGCTCACATATGTGGACATAATTGCGTTTAAGCGACTCTTACCTTGAAAATTTACAATCCACAAGTTATATCTTCAGTACCGCCATTAAAACGTGTCGGCACATTTGACAGCTGCAGTTAACTGGTATGATTCAAGTCCGTCATCTCTGTCAAAGCATGTTCAGACACCTCCAAAATTCGTCCCTTCCAATAATTCGCATGTCCGTTCAGCCCCTTTTCAAAGTATGTGTTCGCTACTTCAACGCCTACTCAAATGTATGTGCATCAGAGCTAACACAACCGAGGTGAGCCACCCACTAAACAGTTTCATCTCTGGTTTTCTTAACATTAATAAGTACCAATATGCTGGAACTGGAACTCTAAGTCCGCCGACCTCAATATGGGTGAGAGTCCCATGCAGGGAGGGGCTCTTGTAAAGGTGATTTCAACGTGAACGCATAACTCAACTCCGTTTCTCTACTCTGTAACCGATTTCTGTGTGTAGAGATATGACCACTTTCAATGCACTCACTTGAAAATGCCTCAGCCGAACCTTGAAGGAGGAGGAGGGGGAGTAGGAGGAGATTAGTGGGATTATGGCCGATCGGGGGTGGTAGGTGTGTGCAAAGGTGTAGGATGATTTGGTACTAACCATAATGAAATGCAAATCT